TAACGTTTTTTCCATTTGATTGCCAGTTATAAAAATCTTTTATAGCTTTAGTATTATCAAGATATTTATCTGTTAAACCGTATCTTTCCTCATCAATAGTTGAATCTAATACAGTATTAAAGGGTGATGATTTTGTCCAACTGCTAGCCAAATAACATACCAAACAAATGTTTACTATGGTGCAACAGAAAAAGATAAAATTGTAAATTGAAATATCCTGTTTTGTTGGTTTTCGAAATGTTTCAATAAACCATAATTTAACTGTTTGAAATATTCGAATAAACCATTGTGATGTGTTTTTAATAAAATCAATCATAAAACAACAGTTTATTCTCGGTAGTAGAGGCAGAATTTCATCTTGATTCTTTGGTAGTAAAGGTACACATTCGCTATTTATTACTAGTGGTTGTGTCTTTGCTTTTTTCTTATATACGAAAACAATTATTAATATTATCACAATACAAAAACAAGTTATTGCTGTTACAACTATTCCTATCGTAACAGTATGATTACTAGAATTGTTTCGCTCACAGCTTGCATTTAAACAGCATTTCGAATCCCAAATATCTTCAATTGATAATAATGAGCTACTTGTCATTGGTATTGTTAAATTATTAAATAAACAAAAGTTTAAACAAACTAAATCTATATCATAATTACATCTGGTACAGTTATCCACACAGAATGCGCTAACTTTGTAACAGTTTTTATATAATGTCGTTTCTATTGTAGATACTGAGCATGTTATTGAGGATGATAAATTGGAATTGCATGTAGAACAATGTATATTTTCTTCTGTTATCAAATTGGATCCTAAATTTATTATTTTAGAAAGATAATTTGGTGCATTATTTGTTGTATTCCATTGACACTGTTCAGTATTTGTATATGTTAATAAAAAAGTTGTTTTAGCCTTAACTAACTGAAAATCTAATTGAGGAATAATTGTGGTAGTGGGTTTTGTCTTAATTGTACATGTTTTTATTGTTGTTTCCTCCCAAAGAGCTATTTTGAATGAGAATAATGTTTGATTAAAGCGATAAAAGTATTTTCCTAATAAACATTTTTCTGTTGGATTATTTTCTTTGCAAAAACTTTGTTGGTATTGACATCGTTGACATTGTGGATCCGAACACATAAAACTTAATGCTAATATAGAACCTGTTGTGGAATCTTGTAATAAACTATAATACTGTAAATTTGAATCGAAAAATTCCGATGTATCCATACATTGAGCAATAACTGTACATGTATCATTCCATGTTGTAGAATTTATATATGTTGTTGTGGGCAATGCGTATGATGACATTTCAAATCCTTCCTGTGCAATGCTACAATTAGTATTTTGAATTGTATCATCATATTCTGATTCAAAAATTGATAGATAGATACCCCCTAATGATGCTATATCAGATGGGTGTGGCCTAATTGATTCAACGTTAGTAGTACACGTTGTTGTCGTACGAGTATTGCTAATATGAGAAACGAGTTTATGTTCATGTATAGTTGAGTTCATTTCATAACTTGCAATGTCAATATATCCATACCCTATATTTTTTCCTTGTTTATTGACTTGTGGATATAGATGAGAAGTTGGATTAGGAAAATATGGTATGGTATCATTAGGTAACAATAATGGATTTTTAATAAATATTGAATTTATTATCGGTAGTGACCGCAAAATCATATGTTTTAATAACGCTTCTTCAGCTGAAGACGGTATTGGTAATGGTGCTGCTTTTATTGTAATGTTTAGCTTTTCGCTGTTGATGTATGTACCATTTAAATAAACACCAGGGCGATTATTAACTAATGTCATTAACATCACAATATTCATATCAATATTAGTAATTGTTCCACTTAAAAATGGCACTGCATATTTTTGAATATCATCTTCTGATACATTACACATGGTACTACTATTATCAAATGCTGAGTTACTACAATTAAATCGATTGAATTGACAGGTAACATTAGTTGAAACATAATCAACATGTAAAAGAGCCTCATCTTGTCTGAATATTGATATTTTAAATACGTACCAATATATTTGTTCATCAAAAAATACATCTTCAATTATATCATTTACATTACTTTTAAATGTACCAAGTGATTCGAACGCCGATGATATTGCATTCATTACATTCGAACCTACTCTCAGACTTGCTAATGGTAGCGACAATCCAGGACTTGGCCATTCAAAAGGTGGATATAATACACTTCGTTCTCGGTCATAGTCTTGATAAATGAGCCATTTTTGGGTAATAGGATTCAGTACATAAATAACAACTGAAATATAGGCTCTTATATCTTGGTTTGCACGCAATACTGCTGAAACTAGCCTGTACCGAATAGCAATACCATAAAATGGAGAATAGATACCACTAGCTGATATGGGTTCCATACGAGCACTAATTTGTTGTGTTATATACTCTTCTGCTTTTTTTGTAAATATAGCCCGTGTTGATATCTGTTAAGAAAGCAATGAATTCACAGAAAAAATTACAATCGCAACCACCAAAGTTGGGTGTGTTTGAAAATTCAAACCGAACGACCGGCTTGAATACAACACCAAGATCTGTATTTTCCACTGCGATTCGTATCTGTATATGTATGTTAGCATCGAACCATAACTGATCACCACGTGAGCAAGGTGTATATGTTATACAGGTGATAAGAAGACAAAAATACGCACGAAAATAAACTGGAACGACGACATTCATATGGACTAAGGCATCAATTTGAAGATTACTCTCATTAGCGATTGTTAATACTGGATCATGTACAAGTTCTAGAGTTTTTCTTCAACGTGAAAAATTTATATACCAATCTTCAGCATGAAGAGAATCACAACAATCACCTCGTCGATTTTGATCAGGTATTTGATTTAATTGATCCCGAATATATTGTATTCCATCATCAATAAACTTATGAAAAATTGACGGAGCTAATTGTAATGCACGCTGAGTAAATATTATAGTAGACCCATGAAGATACGCTGTAGGTGGTATGGGTAGCAGCGGCGGATCGGGTGGTAATGGATATTGTCCAAAGACGAACGGAATAGATAACAGAAATAGTATAATGAATTCAATAGACAATGTCATAATTAACAGTATTTTAATTATTTATCATACCACGATTGCAATTTAATATCTAACATAACTTAGAAGTAAAATCACATTATATGTACGCATAATTAGCTGCGAAAATAAGAGCTCTTGCAGAAACAAAAAAATATTGAAAAATAACTATCAAAAGCATTACTAATTCCATTCTATCATTCTCACTCTCATCTACTATTCATGTAAAAATCTTTCAGCGTAATCTCTGCGGGATGAAAATGGGATACACGATGAAGCGATTTGAATCGTAAACTATACTGTAAAAAAAGGGTAGAATAATAAATCCTTTCCAATACTCTTTGCAAGGGTTTATGAAGGGTATTTGAAGCTCAAAAATCCTTAAAGAGTTTATTATATGTTTCACTTTCATAAATCCTTATAAGGGTTCATGAGAACCATATACTCTTTCCGAAATTCTTAAAAAGTGTTTAGGAGATCACTTCTGGAAACTAAAAGGATTTATGAAATCTATCGTATACCGTAAAAAAGATTTATGAGATCTTTCCTAAACTCTAAAAGAGTTCATAAGACATATTTAATAACCTAAAATGATTTATTAGAATGAATGGAAGTATAGGATAATTATTATTATCTCGTATATGTTGGAAAAAAATATTCTGCGTTACGATGGTTAAAAAGAGGATCTATTTCTATGGCTCAACTTAACAAAAATATTATATCTTTATGTATGTCTCAACCAGGCGAAGATATACGATTTTTTCTGTCTTGACAAAACGAAAAAATAATAACCTATTTATAAATATCAGCTAAACGAAAAAACAAGGATCTTTATGTGCAGGATGTTAGATAACCTTTGCATCCCCCTCTACAACTTAAAATATCAATGATATTCCCAATGTATTTTACATAAGATTAAAATCAGTCAAAAACTGAATTTATTGGTATTAACGCGGGCACCACCCAAGGTGATACCTTTCGTTTTGATTCATTTATATCTCATTCGATCGAGTATATTGAGATAGTAAAAACGCTAAAACGATTTCTCCCCAATATCCTTCCTTCAAAAGTTATGGCTGCTTTATTGAATATTTAACCAATTCCTAGGTGTTTACCGAACAAATTGAACTATGAAATTTCAACCTGAAATTTTGTCCATATAATTGTGATTTTTGACGAGATCATCCCTGAGGAGGGGTACGGGGATTTTTTGAAAAAAGCATTTTGCTCATAATTATTCACAAAATACATAAATCAACTAAATTTTTAACGTTGATTCCGAATCTGATATTAGTTTTGAACCTGATCATAGTTTTTGTGTGCTCAAAACTTGGGTGGGTGTGGGTGTGCGTGAACGTAGGGTCGGTGTGGATGTGGGTGTCGGTGTGGAGTGTAGGGTGCGGGGTGGATGGGAATGAAGTGTAGGGTGCGGGGTGGCTGGGTGTGGAGCGTAGGGTGCGGGGTGGGTGGGTGTGGGTGTGTTAGTCTGAGTACTGCTTTATTTCTGAATCATACTCATACAAACGCCTACACCCTGGGTGAAACAGAATGAGAGTACCTTTAATATTAGTCTGCCTCTTGTACTTCAGCGAATAGTTGCCTCTTGTTGTGTGATTCTTATCAGCAGAGTGCTTATCTAAAAAGGCTTGGAAAAAAACAAGACAACATGGACAGAAACGAAATAGATAGTGTTATCATGTTGCGAAAGTAAGAACTTAATTACGTGGAAAAAACAAAGATACTGTGCAAAAAGTAAAATGAATTCCAATGCACCTAGGACACTCATTGTTAGGGTTG